ATACATATACATATACATACAGGTACACATATACACATACATATACATATGCATATACATTTACATATCCATCCCCATCCGTATCCATCCATCCATCCATCCATCCATCCATCCATCCATCCGTTCATCCACCCATCCATCCATACATACATACAGACATGCATACATAAATACATACCTTGGAAGCCCCTTGGGGTCTGCTTGGGGGCCTCTTGGGGACAAGCTCGGTGCGAAGACGAAAAACACGAATCCGGTTGACATGTACGTTTTCCGAAGAGAACGGGGCCAATTTTGCCTCTCGGGGCCCTCTGGGAGGTCAAATTGCACGGGTTATGAGGCGTCTTGGAGGCCCCGTGTTGGCTGCTTGGGGCCTCGTGGGGGTCTCGGGCGCCCTCTTGGGGCGTGTTGGTCATGTATGTACGGAGAGATATGCTGCTGCTCAAGCACCAGGCAGATGCTGAGAGTTGCGGCACCGCAACGACGGGGTACAAGGCTCAACTCGTCGGCATCAGGCAGCCAGCTGGGTGGATTCGAGCACCCACGCCTGTGGAGAAATGACCAGGCGGAGTATCCAACCCTCTCTAACCATATGGCGAATATGCGCATATATATGAGTATATATGTATATATATATATATATATGTATATGTATATGTATGTATGAATGAGACAGCATACTACAGCATAGGTTGGCATGTTTCGATATGCAGGGGCGGGGATTCTGATTTGCATGCTCGACCGCTAACTCCATACAACGAGCAAATCAGATATGCCCCCTTCAAACGAAGCGGCCCCGACACGCCAAGACCATGCCGTCGCAAACTAAGCTCCCTCTGGCCTGCAGGCTGCAGCCCCTGACGAAGACCGAGGGCTCCTCTGAGCCCGCGTGCACCGTCAATACGCGGCGCCGACTGCCGGCTCGAGGAGCAAGAGGAAGCAAAAGAGTGAAACACCAGTGCTGGTAGTACTGTTCTCAACCCTCCTGCTCTGGGTCGTGTTTTCCAGCTTCGGAGCCGAACGCCCTAAGAGAAAATAGGAACGGCACGATTTTTGTTTCTTGGACCTCTCTTGGGGTGCCTCTCGGAACGTCTTGGGGTGCTTTTGGGAGCCTTTTGGCGCCTCTTGGCGGCATTTTGGCGCCTCCTGAAGCCTCTTGGGCCGGAAGCTCGGAATTCGAGGTTGGCTTTCTCCGTCTGGGACCCCTCTCGAACTCGTCTTGGGGCTCTCGTGGGCCGTCTTGGGGCCGTCCTGGGCCACTCGTGCGCAGCCTTGGAGCGCGAAGCGCGCGCGTGGTTCTAGCTAGGATCGTCACCGTCGTCATCATGAACATCACCATCGCCATCATTCCCCCCGCGAGGGCTAATGTACATCGTTTCTGGATGCTTCTGGCCAGAATACGAAAGGAGTTTCTGTAGTTAGTCTCTGGGGAAAGTCGCGGGGAAGCTTTTGTTGTATTTGGTGTTGCGTCGCCAGGAGGTATGGGCTCCCTCCTCCTCGTGTTCCTACCTCCTCTCTGGACGTCCGATGTCGTGATGCTTTCTGTGCGCGGCCCCTGGACCTCTCGACGACTTCCTGGGGATGTGTTTTTTTTTTCATCCTGAGTCGTTTTCTGACGGTCCCGGGACCCTGCGTGGGGCCCCGGAGGCCGAAAATTGACCGAAACCGCCGTCGTGATTTTTCCAAGACGTCGGAGGTCCAGGTCGTGCTTCCCGCCTCCCCAGACCTCCGACGTCGTAATTTTTGCGACCTCGGGCCCAGGAATCGATTGGGAAAACGCACATGGGAAGGCAAGAAATGATGGACCCATCATTTCGCACCTGTGCCTTGATCAGTGGGACGGGCTTCGCTCCGCCGCACATCACAAGACACGCTCGAGCGGATCCAGCCGTGGCGACGTCGGGGACTGCAGAAGGTCGCAAGGACACGGAATCTGAAAGGAAGAAAGAGAAAGAGAGAGAAAGAGAGGGAGAGAGAGAGAGAGAGCGAAGGAGAGAGAGAGAGAGAAAGAGAGATGGAGAGAGAGAGAGAGAGATGGAGAGAGAGAAACAAAAAAGACAGAGAGAGAGGCAAAGAGAGGAAATGGAGAGGAGGCGAGCTTGAGTCAACGAAAGTCGCAGGGAAGGGGGCAGGGGGAAGAAGGCCAGAGAGCGCTGAAGGATACAAATACTGGAACCCTCTTGGGATTTTTTTGGGGGGCCTCGTCCGGCCGCTCGCTGGGAGTTTGACGTAGCTTCTCGGGAGCCTCTGAACCTGTCGGAGGCCTCCTGGAAGCAGGTTCGAAGCATTTTTGGGGCCGATTTGGGGCTTCTCGGGGCCTCCTTTGGGCCTCTTGGGGGTCTCCTGGGACCTCTTGAGGGGCCTCCTTGGGGCCTCCTGGCGGCCTCTTGGGGCGGAAGGCTCGAGCTTGCGGTTCGTGGTCCCCCCTCTGGGCCCCCTCTTGGGCCCGTCTTGGGGCCCTCTTGGGCCATCTTGGGCGCCTCTTGGGCCGTCTTGGGGCCCTCTTGGGCTGTCCTGGGGCCCTCTTGGAAGATTCTTGGGCCGTCTTGGGGCGGTCTTGGGCGCCTCTTGGGCCGTCCTGTAACGTCGGAAAGCCCAAAAAGCAACTTTGTTGAAAAATGTACGTTTTACGAAGGGAATGGGCCAACTTTTGCGTCTAGGGGCCCTCTTGGGACGCATGTTGGAGGCTTCTTGGGGCGTCTTGGGGGCGTCCTTGACGGCTCGAGGCCATCTTACAGCATTCTTGGAGCCCTCTTGGGAGGCCTCATGGAAAAAATGTTGCTGGCCGTCTTGGGCCGCTTCTTGGGCCGTCTTGTCTGACCGTGGGAGGGCCTCCGGCAAGCCCCGACGCGCCTCCGCCCCCCCCGGGCCCTACTTTGTCGTTGGTGAGTCCGGCCCCGGGCCCCCGGACCCGGTGCGCCGTTATATATGTATAAATATTACATGCACATACATGGACTGTTCTTATACACATACATATACAGGGATGGGGGTGACCCCCCAGCACCCATTCTACGCCTTCTCCCTCTTCCACGAAGCTGGAGACGCATCCTCTTCTCATCATCCCTGCTCCTTTCTGTTCCTCTTCCCGAGTCACGTGTTGCAAGCGGAATGCTTTTTCTAACGCAACCTCAGAAGATGCAAGCGTCCGCTTCCCCCGCCTTTGGGAGAACAGGTATAAGATATCAGCGGCAGCGCTAAAAAGAGCGATAAGCGAACCATATGATTTCTCAGGCATTCCAGGGATGCACAGGGATGCTAAGTGACGATCGCTGTGCAGGCTCAGGGATCCCAGGGATTCCAGGGATGCGAAGTCACGATCCCTGAGCAGGCTCAGGGACCCCAGGGCTTCCAGGGATGCGAAGTCACGATCCCTGTGCAGGCTCAGGGATCCCAGGGATCCCAGGGATTCCTGGCCCTCCAGCAAAACCGACCTGGGAATCCACCAGCGATCCCGCGCTCAGAATCCCTGGGATCCCTGAGCCTGCTCAGGGATCGCGACGTCGGTTGTCAGCAAACCATATGACTTCTCAGGGATCCCAGGGCTTCCAAGGATGGCAAGTCACGATCCCTGAGCAGGCTCAGGGATCCCAGGGATTCCAGGGATGCGAAGTCACGATCCCTGTGCAGGCTCAGGGATCCCAGAGATCCCAGGGATTCCTAATCCTCCAGCAAAACCGACCTGGGGATCCACCAGCGATCCCGCGCTCAGAATCCCTGGGATCCCTGAGCCTGCTCAGGGATCGCGACGTCGGTTGTCAGCAAACCATATGATTTCTCAGGGATCCCAGGGATTCCAAGGATGGCAAGTCACGATCCCTGAGCAGACTCAGGGATTCCAGGGATGCGAAGTCACGATCCCTGTGCAGGCTCAGGGATCCCAGGGATCCCAGGGATTCCTAATCCTCCAGCAAAACCGACCTGGGGATCCACCAGCGATCCCGCGCTCAGAATCCCTGGGATCCCTGAGCCCGCACAGGGATCGCGACTTCGGTTGTCAGCAAACCATATGATTTCTCAGGGATCCCACGGGTTCCAGGGATGCGAAGTCACGATCCCTGAGCAGGCTCAGGGATCCCAGGGATTCCAGGGATGCGAAGTCACGTTCCCTGTGCAGGCTCAGGGATCCCAGGGATCCCAGGGATTCCCAACCCCCCAAATCTTTGCGAAGTCGCCAGGCCGATTTTGCTGGAGGGTCAGGAATCGCCAGCCAGCCGATTTTGCTGGAGGGCCTGATCGGGCCGCGGTTTGCTGCGGCCCTGGGGCTCGCCAGGGCTATGCGGTTTGCAGTGTTCCCGTGCCATGCACGCACGCGCGAGCGCACGCGCGCGCGCACTTGTTGGCGGTCGCTGCCTCGCGCGCAGTGTCGAGACACGCACGCATTTGTTGTTTGTTATATTTCTCTTTTTTTCCTCTCTCTCTCTCTCTCTCTCTCACGTACACACACATAACTACACACGCGCACACACACACACACACACACACACACACACACACACACACACACACACACACACACACACGCGCGCACACACATACAATCACAATCACAATCACAATCACAATCACAATCACACACACACACACACGCACACACACACACACACACGCGCACGTCTAGCGCACTCCTCGTTTCCAATTCCAGTCATTTCCAATTCCGGCCACGAATGATAAACGAGAGGTGCCGACAGGATGAGGTCGGTAGCGTTGTTCCCACGAAATAGAAAGGAGCGCTCTGTAGGAATCCTTAGGAACTTGTAGACAAACTCGCCGCCCGGGTCAATGGAAAATCCGAACTTACTCTCGGAGGCGACGGGAAATCCGCACTCGCTCGTTCGAGCGAGACGAACTCCATGGACTCGTGAATCGCTCTGCTGCGATTGGCTATGACTCGAAGAACCGACACAACAGCGCCACCGCGCCCGCTCGGGGCGGCTGTCGTGCACGCCCAGGGCGCCAAAACTGGGGCACTCTCGCCTCCGGCGGAGCTACCCTCTCTCAGGCTACGACCTCCTCTTGGGGACCTCGGCCTGCGGCGGCGGTTCCTGGGGCTCGTCGCCCCGGCCCCCGTCGTCGCTCGAACGCCGCCCGCCCCCTTCCTCCACGACGCCCGCCGAGGGCGTGCTGCCCTCCGCCGGCGGCTTTCCTCTCTCCGCGGCGTCCGCCGTCTCACCCTTGGCGTCCTCCGCGTGGTCCTCCTCCTCCTCCTCCTCCTCCTCCTCCTCCTCCTCAGAGAATAGCTCGTGGTACTTCGCCCGCGCGTAGAACCTCACCAGGTACACGAAGGCTGCGAGGAGGAAGCCGGCGGACAGGAAGAGGACCACCGCCTGCATCTCCTGCGTGGAGCTCCACGCGTCGGTCGCGAGGACGGAGGCGCATATCAGGCTGCAGCAAGTGAATAGGAGAGAGAGTCCTTCTGCGTCGTTGAGCTCCTGGTACTTGTACGGTCGGAGACGCATGTGCGCACCAAGGAACACGGTCATCGTGAAGAGTGCCATGGCTAACTTGGAAGATGGGCTGTATGTGGTTGGAGCCAGAGTCGCGGTGACAGCGAGCACAGTAGTCTTGGTGAGACGGAAAGCCTCCCAAGACTGCCGCCCCTCAGTGTAGGACCCTGTGATGAACTTCATTGCGTGGTCGTGCACCGAATTGCGAATCAGGAAGATCCAAAGTAGCGGCCCTGCCACAATGGCACCAGAAGCCAGAGGCACCGTGATCATCGAATACCTCGCCCTGCCGCTGCAACTTGCCAGTGACTCGTGTGAAAGCCAGCTCTCAGCAGGCGCAAGGGGATCGTCCGGGTGCACCTGTGTGTGGTAGCACGGGAGCGAGCGGGCGCACGCTGCGGTGATGAGTGGCACGAACTGGTTGGTCGCCACGATGTAGCACACCATGAGGCTGCCTGGCGTGTACTTGGCCCGGAACCACTGGATTAACTGCGCCGTCATCGCCAGGAGCATCGCAATGGCTGCCTGAGCAAACACAAGGCCGACAACGCTCAGGGGCCCGATCTGTTGCTCGCCGCCGTTGACTAAGCAGTCGAGGCTGGACGCAAAAGCCGTGGCGTCACCTCCCGAAGCGTGAATGCCCATGCTGAGAACTCCTCTGACACCATCGGGCATCCTGCGGAACACAGGCGTTGCGTCTATGGTCGACGCGACGAGAGCAGAGGCGGAGGTGAACGCTAGCAAGATCTTCAGCGCATCGTTCGAGAAAGCTGCGGATGCCCCACTGCGCGCGGCGTCAAACGCACTGCGGAGGGAGGCCGCGTAGAGCATGATCGGCACTCCAAGCCACGCGAGCCACTGAAGAATCTGGTGGCCACACTGCTCACAGATGAAGGGATCAGCGTTACTGCGTCCAAAACCAACTGTGCAAGAAGCGCATCCGGGTGTTGTCGAATTGTACCCTTCCTGGCACTTTGCCTCTGCACGCAGTGTTTCGCAGTTGTCCGCAGCCTTGCTGCGGGGGTCCACGTTCAGCTCGACAACGCTATGAGGACAAGCTACGCTGTTAGGGCAGCGATGAGCTGACGTGCCGTTCTTCTGATATTGTATCGTAGCTCCTTCTGGCACGTTGATCAGCCAGTCGCTAACATATATATATATATATATATATATCCATCTTGACTTGCTTGCTCAGATGCATCGTGCAGGATTTCTCCACCAAGGCCTTATCTTTTAATTGTTGGGCCACCTTCATCTCTTTTTCCGCCTTCTCAGTGTCCTTGATCGCTTGACGTTCCCTACGCTTCACATCTTTAAGTTCATGCCGCACCACAGTTTCACTGTTGTTTGCAATGTGCGCACTCGCTGCCAACGCCTTAATGCACTCCTTCAATGTTATTCGGGAGCCGTAATCAGCTAACTTGTCAATATGTTTTAGGAGGCTCTGGCATTCTGGCGGCACCTGAACCTGGGCCTTGGCCTCAAGGGCGGGCCCTTCCTCGTTGCCGACACCCTCCTCGCCTCCGGCCCTCTGCATGCTCCCGCCGAGGGCCCGCTGTGGCCTGGAGGTCGGCCCACTCTTCTGCCTCGCCGAGGAGGGGAAGGGGGAGGAGGAGGAGGAGGAGGAGGAGGAGGAGGAGGAGAGGGAGGAGGGGGAGGAGGAGGAGGAGGAAGGGGGAGGATCAGGAGGAGGAAGAGGAGGAGGAGGAGGAGGAGGAGGAGGAGGACGAGAAGTGTGGCCCCCTCGCTAGACAGCTCGGCAACTCCCCTGGCCTCGCGCCCGATCTCGACGAAACGCTCGCGGTAGGCCGCCCGCCTGTCCAGGCCTGCTTCTCCTCCAAGCCCGCGGTCGTCCCGCCCTGTGCGGCGCCACCAGACAGCTGGCCCCGCGAGTCCACGGCGAGCACCTCCCTGCGAACCAGGGCGTTCCCGCGCCCTCCCTGCGCGGAGCGCACGCGCGCGGGCGGGCAGAGGAGCAGCGCCGCGGCCAGCAAGGTGAGCCGCCGAGGTCGCTCGGGGAACGCCAT